GGCCAGCATCATAAAATTATTGTATAAACAAATGTATAACATGGTGTACTGTAAATTTAAATAGGCTGAAGTGAATTGCTCAAAGGATGTATGAGATAAATATCTGAAATAGAATTTGTCAAATTTACAAATCAAATTGATGCGCATCAGTTAACCATTATGATTAATTATTTCACACATGCCAGAGATCTGGTTCAAAATATCTCATTGTAATGTAGTTTTACAACAAAAATGACTGCCTTTCGGCCATCTTTGACTGAATCACTATATCATCACACATGCCTATGTATCAGACTAGGTGTTAGGTAAATGCAAGGTTTGAAGAGAATCGGTCAAGGTATGCCTGAGATACAGCTCTGAGTGAACATACACACACACAGAAAATATCATAAGTCCCTGTTTCTGACTGAAAAGGGCCCAAAAACAACTATTCATTAATAATTTTAATAGTTTTGAGGAAAATCTAAATCAGGTCTTACCTTCAGCCTCTGATGAAGACAATGACGACATACTTTATGTTTTATATTATTAGAGCTGGCAATATGAGATGATGTTGGAAGAAAGCCAGCCTTGGGCTAAAACAAAATTACACATTATGCATGACATTCAGTAAGTTGAAATTTGCTGACACTCAATAGATATAATTACGCTATAATTACATACATGTGTCAGAATAAACAAGAAAATACTAGGTACAATTAAAAATAAAATAGCTGGGTGATATTGGGTGGTATTACATATCATAAAGCTAGTACATTTTTTGAAATACACCTGTGGTGGTGTTTCAGACATTAAATATATGACCAATAATGTGAACTCATACATAAATTTTCATACATGAATTTATTTTCAATATGTAGAAGTACATCTGTAATACAATCTCCTTGTAGTTTTTGAGATAAAAACAAAAATTAAGAACAAGCTCGCTATATGCCTCTCTACTAGAGCCTAGGTATGATGCTAGTAATATCTCACTGCAGTCTACAACTGACTGTAGATTTGAAATTTTAAAGAAAATTCTGAAATATGGATGTCTAAGCATTATTAGGGACGACGTCAAAAGATCAATGTCGGATAAAAAACTTATTTCCTTTAGTTTGGGGGTGGGGGGGTTTTGACCTCAAAAAGTTTCCATCCGGCAAAAACGATTTTATTTTTTAATGAAGTCAAAAAAATCTTGGAGTATTTGTAGTTCGTTTTTTTTCTATCCAATCATGGACAGAAATAACCGAAAAGGAAAAAAAAACAGAAAAATTGTTTGGTTTGAGTGTAAATCTGTGCGTTAAATGAGGTGCATTTGTAAAATCTTTTTACACCCACCCGACAACCAACTGCTATGCAATACTACTGTCCGATTATCAATTTGTATTTAAAGGTGAATGTAGTCTGACGCCATGACCAATATTTATCAATTAAGTTTCAGTGGGGGGTAGGGGGGTTTTGAAAAAACTAAAGGAATTAAGTTTTTTATCCGACATCGATCTTTTGACGTCGTCGTCCCTTAGAAGAAAATGCTTTCAAGCTGGCAATGAACATCATTATTGTCTGAGACCCCCTATAACATAATATACATAAATTCCATGCATAAATCTGAATAGATAATGAGATATTACAAGCATCATACATGTACCTAGGCATTATAGGAGATGTATAGAGGAAGTGGAGTGTTACATAGATTCTAGAACTTGTAAAAGTCCTTCCAGTTTTCACCAAGAACTAACTCCCCAAAAATGATAACTCTGACACAAACAAACTTAACTGTGATTTCAAAACTGGGGCATGAAACTAGTTTGCTAGGAATGTCTATATCAAAGTTGACATGGACATGCACGCCACAATAATGCTTACCTTGATTTCAATACAATATGTTGGGACATTCTTATAATTATGCTTCCGGGGAAATTGACAAAAGTCAAGAGATTTTTCTGCGTATATGCTGTGAATTTCACTCCCAAGACGTGATGGTGGTCTTAAATGGCGAAACACTGAGTTGATGCTGCAGACAAACTGTAAGGATACTTCAACAAGAGACTGTATGCAAGTGGAAAAATAAAAGGGTTACACAAAATGAAATAAATTATTAAACATAAGATACAAAGTTCACATAGTTGATAGATCTATTTTTATTACCATACTTCCTTAATCAAAAGCCCCTACCCTCTATTTTTAGACATTTAACAAGTTGAGGTCATCCCAATTTTCAGTTTGTGACACTAGTCTCCCACAATGTGAACCATATGGACATGATCATGTCATCTTGGAAAACATTGGTAATCATGCAAACACAATCCATTTGGGATTCAACAATAACAATCATGAAAAATCCATGGATATGGAAATGAAATCAGTTTGGATGGGAGTTACAACATAGAATAATGTTTTTGATCAGCTGTGTCAGATAAATCCAGGAGACATGGCAGTGGATGCCTTCAGAACAACTGAAAAATATTATCGCTGTCCTGATTATTGAATTTAATTTATTGATCATATTACAAAATGCAAAATAAAATTGGTTCAGTTATAATTAAATTACTTAATAATTTTATGGCAGGGCGGGTCAAAGATGTGAGCATCCCCCATTCTCCCTCAACCAACTAGATGACACCACTGAAACAAGTGAACTAGTATTTTAATCTTATAGGTGAAAGACCCCTAGAAAATTATAGAGTATGAATAAATGTTTCCCCAGGTCAAGTGATTTCATCCATTGACAAAGGTTGACAGTCTGTCACAAACAGGTGTAATAATGTTTGATTAAGGAATACAAACATTGGCAGCAGCCCAAACCTCTCAAGCATTATGTAGAAAACACCAGAAATAAATGAATCAGTGCCGCCTCCAGTATTCAGAAAACATACATTTTGTTTTGTTTAAAGTGATATGGTCATAATCTAACATTACTAATCACCCCATATCTGAATATCTTCTTGTACTCAAATGTTGATATACTTTCACATTTGACATATTATTGTGAAATATTCATATCTCATAATGGGAAACAAAAATATTAAAATATGATGTTGCATCACAAAAAAATCTGTATGTCTTTGACACCTCATATTTAAAAAATAAAAAGCACTGTCAATAAAATAGCAATCACATATTTTGAATAAAGAGCAGTTTGAATTGTTATAAACCTGCAGCAGTGACCCAATTTAACCCCAAAAGACCCCCTAGCTAAGTTAAATTGGAGAATGTGATGACAGGTCAGACACAGTCCAATACTGTCTGAACTTCACTCATCACTGCCTGTTACAACCCAAGACTGCTAGTTCAAACTACACAATGAACTTGAATGTGATAGAAGTAAATCAGGGCAACCGTAATATAAAGTCATGGTACGGTGATTTTAGTTCTATGGGCTTTAGAAATGGACATGTACATGTATATTCTACTTACCCTTTTGACAACATACTCATTTCCCAAGAGAGGTATCATTACATTTTCAACATAGTTAAGGTTTCGCTGCACAATCTCCCTATCAGTATCCTATTGTGAGAACAAAAGTATTGTGTTTTTGAACCTTAAAAGACAATTTTCATTGTAAAATGTGAGATGGATGTGTTTCTCAACCTCACACTAAGACACTTTTTTTACGAGTAATGTACCAGAGCTATTCTCTGTGAACAGCGCTATTTGAAGTCTGAAGAAAATCCCCAGGTTACATGTTTTTTGATCAATATTCAGTTCAAAATGGCTGCTATACTAGGAGTTAACACTATGGGGATACCATATTGTATCATTTTGTCCATAGAAACAAGTTTGCGTAACCCCTCTTCATTTTATCTTTTCATTTATTTATTTGATAGAAACTTTCACTTCTCAAAATATGGTTTGTTTTTCGTGTGTTTCTGGTTCAAATTAAAACTGCACGTATTCCTGATTTGACAGTACGCACACTTTATATAATATATACTTATATATACATTTGCAATATGTACATATCTACTCTCCTCATATCATTACAAAGGATGTCAGTTGAAAAATATTGACTCATGCATGTGTCGATGTACTCATTACAATACAGCGATCTGATGACCTATTTTTTTGGTTGTCTGGTTTGCTTGGTTGTTGAAGTCAATACATGGTTGTATATCAAACAAAATGACTACCGGTATGATCAAAATAATAGAAATTATAAAAATTAAACAATTTGGTAATATAATGCAAGCATATATTATTAAATTTGAACATCCACACTCTGGAACACCCCAAATCACTAATACTTATAAGGATAAGGTTCTGTATTGGGACATTCCACCCCATAGACGTCAATGTATTAACTTCAGCAACCAATCACACACATAGATCAAGAAGATCGTCAGGCCCCTGTGATGCAGAAGTTGTTTAAAAAATAAGATCTGACAACAAAAGACAAATGTTTACACAGATTACAAAAAACCATGCACCTATCTATACCAGATCTCAGTACATGCTGTCTACGAGCACTATCAAGTGTGCACTTTACAGTGTCAATAACAAAGACGAGTTGACCACTATGGACAATGCTACCAACTTTATATCTTTAGTGAGTTTTCATTGGCAGGGGTTAGGGCATCGTATTTGATTTTATCTAAGTAATATATTTGTGCGTTTAGTATTCACTTTGTTTGATTGGCTATCAACTGCACATTTATAGATAAGAAGTAAACAGAATGACATGCTTCAAAATCCTATAATGTCCATTATGTACAAAGCTTTAATGAAATCTGTCTCTGCACTGCCAAGATGTATTTCCAATATTTTTAATATTAAAATGGTCGCAATCTGAGATGCATTGAAAGCTTGCTCGATTTACATGTTGTGTCATAAATTTTCATAATAAACATTTATGCCTTAATGAAACTGAGTGTATTGCCATGTTGCTCATCTTCACACGTCAACAATGTCTAAGTTCACAGTGCATCTACATTGTATGTTATACTATAAAGGCATTAATTATTCACTGGGTTTTAATTTTGCTATTTTCGCTGATAAGTAAAAATCCACTAAATTAAATCTACTGAACATGTAAAATAACAATACTAGTAAAACTTATTGTTTCTTTGACTTATTCATGAAATTAAATTACAGTGAATATGCTCAAAATGAAAATAAAAATAAAAATAAAAAAAAATAAAAATAGTGAAATTAAATGTTAGTGAATATAAATGGTTTTACAGTATGTGATTTGCCAGGCACAGAATGTAAGCACAAGTATGCAAGAGCTGTGTTGTTTATTTTGACTGCAATGCTATCTCTATCCTGTTGTAGTATTCATGTTTTTATATTTATGACTGTTTAAATTAACCTAAGCTCTTGGCCACTTCAAAACACTTATTGAGGTCTTATAACTACATGCGTTACATATACTGTAAAATACTTTATTTTTGCTTGGAATTAACTTTCGCTATTTTCGCTGAAGAAATGATTCAGTAAAATAAAATTCAGCAAACATACCTTTTTTCCTATATTTTACATTCAACTTGTCAAAAATAAGTGAATATAAATATTCCACACTAAACACCTAAAATGTCTTTTCAGCGAAAATTAAATTCAGCTAAAATAAAGTATTTTACAGTACCGGGTAGATAGAATACAAACACACTTTCATCATACTGTATGGATATTAAATAAGTGAAAACAAGTTTCAGAGTCATATGATAACTCATTGTTCATGTCGTACAAACTTTGTACATTTGACATGCATACAGAACTGCACACTGTGTTCGGTTCAAAACACTCATTGAGGTCTTATAACTACATGCGTTATGTAAACTATATGATGGTTTGAGTTTGTATAAATTAAAGAAAAAATAATTTTATCAATGATGTTCTTTTAGTGTTTCAAATGTTGGCTAATGCTCATGTTCGAATACATTTACATTCATGTCTGGAAAAAACAGCAGCTAACAGTAATTTGAAGCAACAGGAAATTGAAACGAATTCACAAAAGTTTTTCCGCAATTTACTAATATTGATGCCAGTATGGTAATTATATGCATAGTGACTATAGTAAGGTTGGATGATTGAATGACAGCAAATCAAGCAAGACGAAAACACCTAGCATTATGAATATTCAAGGACATGAGAGAAACAACAACTGGTCGTCATTGGTTACTTGAAATCAGTAAATAGAAACTGTGTTCTCTTAGATTTCATTTACTTGTAAAAGAGGTCTTCATCATATGTCATCATTTAATATTCAGAATTATAGTAATGAAACAACAAACATACATACCTTTTTGTCCTCTTTATCTGCATTTCGTTTCATGAACCGGTATACAACATTTTCCTATAAATGCAATAATTCAGAAGATGAGAAATAATGACCAAATAGTAATGGCATCAACAAGGAACAAGGACCTCTTCCCTGATAAAAAAAACTTTTAAAGGGAATCTTACAAACCCAGGGATTGTACCAAAGAATCATGGGATAATATTGTTTATGTTGTTTACAATGTTAATCTATCTTTTGTTATCCATTGTAATCCAGAAAGTAAATTTGTTGTGAGATTAGGTTTAACTGGAGGTGCCCCTTAAACCAGACTGGTCATGCTGTCACTGTTCTGTCGTGTTTTCAGGTCCACCATATATGAGTAATACAGTAAAGCATTGAACCAAATTATTTTTGTTCAACCACCAATCAATAAATTTATTAATAATTAATAAAAATGAGAAAATGACATGTGCTCTGGGAATACACAAAAAGATCCAGAGACCAACAGTAATCAATTCTCTCACAGATTTAGTATTTCAGGAAATACATTAGTCAAGTGAGATTTGGTCAAATTGTAATTAGTGTGACTTCAAATGGGAACGTTATCGCATACCTATCATCCGAGTATCTTTATTTTATGTAGCCATGGTCTAATTCAACTACTTGAGTTGTCTTAGTAACTCAGCAGGTTATAATCACTTCTATACCCAACATTCATATAAAGTTAAAATGCAACAAGTACAAGATCCTCAATAAGCCCATCTAGATTACACCTAGAGTTTTGTGTTGCCAGAGGAAGACATTTAAATTAGAGCAAATGCAAACAGAGCTGGTACAGGTGATGTTCAGTCACAGATGTGGCCAAGCTACGATTTTGTACAAAGTAGACAATGCATATTGGTAACATTGCCAGCTAAATCGCTGAATGGTTTGCAATGTGCTTCTCAAGATTGTTTGGTCAAATCATCTGAAGAGATACATGTAAGTTGAGTAACAATAAAAGATTCATTTTATTTCATCCAATCGTATAAATTGCTATGACAAACAACAAATGCATTTCAGAAAAGTCGCTGGCTGAACGGAACAACTCATAAAACTGGTTTGATCTAACCAGTTGTGATCACGTAACGATCTTACAACGCACATATCAAAACAGTCAGCAACTTAGCTTGCAATGCTGCTGTTTTGGTGTAAGAAACAATATGGCTGTGACATTAACTTTTTTCTTAAAATCAGAAAATATGTAAATCATTAAAATTGACCATTCACATTCAACTAATACAGTGTCCAGCATGTCATTTGAGGTTGTATCTCACAGAGATCAATGTGAAAATAATTTTATTTTGACAGTTAAAAATGAAATATGGATGAGAACATCTAATTTTGAATACTGCTGTTTGATAATATATGTTGATGTATACAATTGAATTATGATTTATACCCAAGTATTCATTCAATGAAACGATGAAAGTCTTTAGTAATTTTTAAGGTATGTACATCATGTATAACAATCACTGCACATACGTATTAGATGTTTTTCTATTCTTATCCAATGAATACTATATAGTATGTTTCAAAAGCGAAATAATCATATTGATTACGAATGAAGTTGATCAGATGATGAAACTGGTTATGTCACTATATTTCACAAAAACTGGTGATGTCACAGTAAAAATTGGTCATCATGTAACTTAGTGATGTCACTAAACAGGTTACACATAAACAAGGCTTAGAGGTACATTTGTGTAACAAATCATGTCAAAATAATTACAAAATATTAACTATAACCAAATGATTGGGAGTGTGTGCAGCCATCCACTCTCAACATCCCACTGTTCCACCATCCTGTGGTATTAATTATACACAAGGAATTAGTATTCAATAAAAATGTCCATGAGACCCCATACTAGTTAATACACTGGAATGCATATTCTATTTATAAACATCAATATTAATTATTTCTCAAATACCATAATGTTGTTGTTCACATATTTACTACAGAAAAGTGGAGATTTTTTTAAAATTAATTGATATCAACACTGTTAACAGTTTGAAACACTTTTCATACATAAATTTGGCATAATATTCAGTAAATCCAGCACCACACACACACTGCTCACATTGTTAAGTAATTTTATACAATTTCTTTATTACCTTGTTTGAAAAAGCAACCTGACGGTATTGCAATACAGTTCACTGATTTAAAAAAAAAAATACTTAGTTTATATAATTTGACATTTACTATCATTAT